CAGGGAGCAGGGACACCCCCCGAAACCGAACTGCTGTAGCCAAAGTCAGGCGGGGTGGGCTCCCCACCGAACGGGGCCCCTCCGGGCACCAGGGGCTCCCCCATCCTCCCCGGGAAATCCCGCTCACCCCAAAGGAGCCGCACTTTCCAGGGGCGCAGAAACTTCTTGTGGGACCAGAGCCGAAGTTTCTGCCGGGAGCGATGCAGCCGAAGCTCTTCAGCGGACGCTTTGCTGCCCAAAGTCCTCCCGAGGTACTGAGGCTCCCTCTGGCGCTGCAGGGCAGAGCAAAGTCACGCTGGGCGCCAGAATATTGGAACAGGATCCCAATGTTCCCAGGCGGAACGTGCCCGGGCTGTTCTGGCCTCAGCTCCTTGGCCGGAGGGGACTGCTGCGGTATTTTACACAGAGACACCTCCGGCCGGCCGGGAATCGCAGCCGGGCACTGGAAACCCAGCCCAGGCTCGGTTTTACCTCTGGTGAAGAGAAAGGAGACGGATTCTGCCCGAGGGTTAAAATGCAGAGCTTCATTCCAAGGGCTGACCCCTGAACGGCAGTAACCGCCCCAGCACAAGGCCGAGCTCCCGGGCCCAAGGGCCTTTTAAGGCAGGGAGAGGGGAGGGAAGGACAGGGGAGCACCAACCCGCTGGGAGGAGGCGGGTCTGGGGGATAATGGCGCTTGGCCAAGCCAATGGCATCTTCTGAACTTCTGCCGAGCGCACGGCGGCCTGCTGGAATGTGCGCATTGACTGACAGCGTCTCGGCAAGGGGACAAGGGGCAGGGCAGGCTGGCACACCTGGCACACAGGGAGGTCTGAGATTGCAACACACTGCGACATCCTGGAAACTGAGCATCATGTGCTCCTCTACAAGATTATTGTAATGTTCAAACTTTCTGGATGACAAGTGTTCTTCAAAAGAGGTTTATTTTTTTTAATTTAATTTAATTTAATTTAATTTAATTTAATTTAATTTAATTTTATTTTATTTTATTTTATTTTATTTTTTACTCAACCTGCTCCCACTAAAGGGCTGTGTGCAGGAGCCTTGTCTGCCTGGCTGTGGCTGGGTGAAAACACTTCCAGCTTCCCCCTTAGTGCAGGACACTGTTGGAGAAGCCATTGGGGCAGAGGGGCACTCTCCAGGTCTGTCACCAACAGCTCTGCAGGCAGCAGCAGCACAGACTCTCCAATAAAGTGATTTATTTCCTGTTCTCCCCCTGTCCAAAAGCCACTCTCCCACGCTGGCAGGCACAGATGTAGAACCAGCTGGTTTCTTAAGGGATGAAATAGTCGAGAATTTGCTGCCCTGAGCTCACAACCATCAAAGGTAAGTTCCCCTCTCTGCCTCATCATTCCCCAGCCTGGGAGATGTCCCTCTTGTCTCTGAGAAGGAAGAAAATTCACTCAGGCCTCTGGGCTGCTGGGTCACTAAAATGAGCTCTTTGATATCCTACAGCAGAGGTTGTTGTGGGAGTGTGTTACACATGGGATTACCAGAGTTTCCAAAACTCTGGGTGCTGCTGATGTCATGATGGAAAGCGTTCCCTCTCCATGAAGGCAAGAAAGGCTTCTCATGGTCGGAGCTCAGTGCATCCCTTCGGGTGTCCAGAGGTGCCAGGGCCCCGCTGGGGGGCTCAGAGACCCTGGCACGCTCCCCAGAACACCCGGGGACTTGATTGTGACCCTGGAGCAAGTCACCAGCTTTGTATGAGGACATGAAAGTCACACAGGTTTGAATGGTGTAATAACAAAATGATCACAGGGAGAAAATGTAGATTTTAGGATTTTTGGTTATGGGGACAAGATGGAGGAATCTGGGCATGTCCAGCCTTTCTCCTTCTTCTTCTTGTTCTCCATTTCTGCAGTGATGCTGGCACTTTGGGATGGGTTTAGAGTAGAAGTGCACTGTCTAACACAGGTGATGGGTATTGGGAATTAAGTGTAAATACGTTATACGTAGTTTGTAGTATAAAAGGACAACACAGAGTGCCTGTGGCTGCCCTGCTGAGCAGATCTGGGCTGGGCAGAAAGAAAATTTTACAGATAAGAATTAATGAACAGCCTCAAGAGCGAACAGTGAAGAGCCCAGACTCGTTCTTCACCCGCACGGGCCGGAGCAGAGACACCCCGCACATCTGGGGCAGCGATGAGCACCCGAACCCCAGAGCTCGGCCACACACCCCGCACATCTGGGGCAGCGATGAGCACCCGAACCCCAGAGCTCACAGCCTGATGCCTTTCCGTGGGGATTGCGAGGAACCAGCACCACCCAGCGCAGAAGAGGAGTCAGGACACAGAGCCCGAGCCGGGGGGAAGGAACACGCTCATGGGCTCAGATCCGTGTGAGCCGCTGAGCCTCATCCACGAGGGGATTGCTGACAGTGCCAGTGCACAGCGTCCAGCCTCACGCTTTGTGCCACACCACCAACCTCCAGCCCCAAACCCGTCCTGGCTGTCGGTGACCGTGTTCACGGGGAAGTGTTGGAGAAGGAGGCCCCTCTTCTGCAGCCACAGATGCAGTCTGACAGCTGCTGGTAAACAAAACCAAGCCCTTTAATTTCATATTAAGGTATCCCTGAATCTCAAATGTTTGTGCTTAGTAGTCACACAATGGTTTTTTGCTATAAAAAAAAAAAAAGACTCTGAAGGGATAAAAGAATAAATAAAGTGTAGGATTTATTATTGTCGCACTGCTTTTAATGCAGGGATGGGATTATTTTCAGGCTAAGAACAATTTATTGTTCAGATAAACATCAGTCTCAGAGGCTGGGAGATTTTGAAAGGGCAAGCTGTCAGCTATAGTTCAAGAGTAGTTACAGGTTCTTTGTTATAGGACAATATATAACTTTCTAAATTAATATAGTTGCTACAGGGTTTATTTTGCTTTTCTAACCTACTACTTTTACTAAATTTTGCTGCACTGTGGATACTTTTGCCTGATGGGATTCTGTCTCACATCTACACATATGCTTTTGTTATAACCTCTAAATTCCTAACCTATTTCATATTATTACATTACTACACTATAAACCTCTCATCATCTCACTTAAACAGTTTTTTACTTACTTAAGGTATATTCTTACAACTATAGAAACATAAGTTAATTATTTTTCTACTTAATGTCTGTGTATTGTATTTTTATATCAATCTAAGCTTCTCCTAAGGCTGCAAATTAAACTCTTCTGTGTCTGTGGAAGTTTCTATTTTTCTGGTTCCCATAGGATTAATAAATGTCACATTTTGGGTAAGGATTTCCCCCTGTTAAATGGCAATTCCATAATATTTTTCATTTATTAAGGCTATTTGTCTAGCAGTGTAAGATGTAATAACCCTCATGCTGAAAGAAGCAATCTTAAAAAGTTATTTCTGATAGCATTTCTAGTGCAGGGAAAATGCAAAGAGCAGAGGGTATCAGATCAGTTTCTGTTGAGCAATGAATTGGGAGGGTTTTGTACAAGCAATACCTGTTCTTGTTTTGGAACAAGATATTCTTATCTTCTTCCTTTCTGGAGTGTTGCAGCATGTGTGAGGGCATCTGTGTTCTCTGGAGCAGCCACTGGATTTAGAAACAAACTGTGTTTTGAGTTAGTTCTGTCTTTATGAGTCGCTTAACCACAGCCTTATGCTCACTGGATGTGCTGGGGCAGAGTAAGTTTTCCAGGGGACATCTGCTGCATTTGTTTCTTTTGTTTTGGTGAGTTATGAATGGCGGGCATTAAGATCATGGGGCAGAAAATAAATGCAATGTTATAATGAAATCTCTGTCTCAGAAAAACACTGATATTTCTGTAGTGTATCACAAAAATGTAAAACCAAACAGCAGGTGGGGGGTTAAGGATTTGCCTGGGGTTACAGTAACAGTTATAGCCGGACCTGAGGCTGAAGAGTTAAGTTTATCTCTTTCATTCTTTTTCTCTACCCTGTAAGACTACCAAATGATCAGATTTGGAAATCTACTCTTTTTTTTTTATTTGACAATCTTCCACTTTAATATATATACATATTTAGAGTCTGTACATGGTAAAATACAAAATAAAAGTGTTTCTTTATAAGTTACACAATTACACAGCTGCATTCACCTGTAGTTTAGCTGTCATTTAATTCAAAATAAAAGAGAGAAGCATTGTTGAGCCGTTGTTATAATCATTGACAATAACCTTGGTATAAAACACCCATACAGAGTAAGTGTACAAAATAGTGTACAGTTCATATAAGCTGTGCAAAGACAGCAAAGTTCAGTTAAAAATCAAAGAGATGTATCCACTTTCCTCTGTCCACACCACGGATAGGAGAAGCAAAGTGGAAAATAAACACAAACATAGGCAAGAAGGTGGGTTAGACAGTGCTTTGAACACAGTATTGATGAATAAATTAAGAGGAAAATCATAAATATATAAGATCTCCATTACACAGGGCATGCTTGCATTGTACCTTCAAAGTCATTCCAGGGATTTGGATGGATTTGCTGCACAAGCATGGTGCCATTTGGGGTGAGGAGGGAGGCAGAGCTTGCTCCGGGTCCCTCTAGGTTATTTATTTTGGAAGAAAGTGTTGCTAGATCAGACAAGCCTTCAGCAGCAGCTGAAGTAATACAGTAGCTGGAAATTCACTTGAAAGCTGACAGAAATTGTCATGCTGTTTATATTGTATTTTTGATGATTTTTTTATCTGGGGGAAGAAGTTTCCTTTCCTCCAGGGAAATTTCCCTTTCCTCCCTGCTGTACAGCCAGGAGCTGCCTGTTGTCTGTTTTTGCTAAATGAGCAACTATTGATTGCTGAGCAGAGAGAGTTATGAAAAGTTGGGCAGATATCATGAACATGAAAACCTCTCCACAGGGCAACAAATGAGGAATAGCAGTGAGAAGGAAGCCTTGCAGCTATTGCGATAAAGAACCTGCACTGAAGCAGCATGTGGACATTGGGGTGGGACAGCACCTCTTCAATTTATAGCACTCTGGTTTATTTACATCTTTGCAGTGTCCTCGTGTGATGTAGGGTGATCTAAGATACTGTTATCTCCTCCTCTTCTTCCTCCCCTTCATCATCCTCCTCCTCTGAGTCTGAGAAGTCTGAGGGCTTGCTGGGGCTGCTGGAGTGGGATGGAGAAGGAGACATCTGGGAGTCCAGTCTGTCCCTCAGGTGCAGATGTTCTGGGGACGGGTGGTAGGTCAGGGGGTGCTGGGGGCTGGCCGGGCACACAGGGGGAACCTCCTCCTCCTCCTCCTCCTCCTCCTCCTCCTCCTCTCCCGAGCACTTCTTGCCCACATCACTGAGGTCTGGGTGAGGGTTGAACTTGGTGGGCAGGGTCTGTTCTCTGCAGCCGCCCGAGGACAGGAGTTCTCTTTCTTTGGAGTTCCTCCATTTCATCCTCCTGTTCTGGAACCAGATCTTCACCTAGGGGACAAAGCAGCAAGGAAGTGAAAGGGTTCAGCGAAACGGGCACCAGAAAAGGTGGTTTTGGCTGCATCCTCAAAACCCTGCACAAAGCTAATAGGAACCACAGAATCTGATCTTTGGAGGAGCCTGAGAGAGAGCTCAGGGGCAATCAGGCTGGTCCTGTTCACCCAGCTGGGAATAGTGACATTTTTGGCTCTGTTGACTGCCTGTATGGTGTGGTCAACAGAGTGCTTTGGCTGTTCTCCCTGCTCCCATCCCCTTCTCCCATCTGCCTGCTTCCCATCCCCTTCTCCCATCTCCCTGCTCCCATCCCCTTCTCCCTTCCCATCCCCTTCTCCCTTCCCATCCCCTTCTCCCATCTCCCTTCTTCCCATCCCCTTCTCCCTTCCCACCTCTTCCCATCCCCTTCTCCCATCTGCCTGCTCCCATCCCTTTCTCCCTTCCCATCCCCTTCTCCCTTCCCATCCCCTTCTCCCCTGCTTCTCTGGACCTGCCCCTGGCCAGTGGGGGCTCCCCACACACCCTCTGCCCTCCCATCCCCAGCCCTCCCTCTCACCTGCGAGTCCTTGAGGCCCAGCTTGGCCGCCAGCTTCTTCCTGTCGGGTTTGCTGATGTACTTCTGCTTCTGGAACATCTTCTCGAGCGCCTTGCGCTGCACGTCCGAGAAGACGGCGCGGCGCAGCATCCCCCGGCGGGGCTTGCCGCGGGCGGCCAGCGGCCACGAGAAGGTGCCGGGGATGGGCACCACGGCGGAGGCGGCTGCGGGACGGACACACGGACACACTGAGCCGGGGGGACAGGCCCTCGCCATCCCTGCCCGCCCTCATCGACCCGGGGCGTGGAAAGGAGCTTTGGGCTTAACCGAGCGTCCCCTTTCAGGCAGTGGTGGCCGGGATCAGGTCTGTCAGCTCCATGGGGAACACGGGGCAGTGGTGGCCGGGATCAGGTCTGTCAGCTCCATGGGGAACACGGGGCAGTGGTGGCCGGGATCAGGTCTGTCAGCTCCATGGGGAACACGGGGCAGTGGTGGCCGGGATCAGGTCTGTCAGCTCCATGGGGAACACGGGGCAGTGGTGGCCGGGATCAGGTCTGTCAGCTCCATGGGGAACACGGGGCAGTGGTGGCCGGGATCAGGTCTGTCAGCTCCATGGGGAACACGGGGCAGTGGTGGCCGGGATCAGGTCTGTCAGCTCCATGGGGAACACGGGGCAGTGGTGGCCGGTTTTGTTGGGAGATTCAAAGCTCCCCCGGCCTGAAAAGGCAAAGCGAGGCGTACCAGCTAAGACAGAGGTATAATAAAAAAGCTCTCCCTCCCACTCAGAAGCATTCGATTTTTTTTTTTCAGCTGCTTTTATCATTTCAGATGCTTTATTATGCTGGAGATGAAAATGGGGACTTTTCTGATTCCGAACAAAACCGCTCCTCTTCAGATGCAGTTTTGATCAATCAGTATTCATCTTTTTATAATAATCTCTTCTCTCTCCCTCCCCCCTGCTCCAAAGTTGGAGAATTCAATTCGAAGACATGAAAAGTTGCAGCTAATTAGCACACTGCCTGGTTCCCAATGGCATTAGTATGATAAAAAAGGGCAGAGTTTCGCCTTAAAAAAAAAAAGGAGGGGGGAACCTCCCCAAGAGAGACAGAGATGCTAATGAAGCGTGAATGGTAATTGTGTAGTAATGAACTAACAGAAAAAGACTGAGGACAAGCAGCTAACGCCATATATTATTGGAACAAAAGAGATTTACACTTTCAAACTAAACACAACGGCATGCCAGGCTCCTCGGGAGAATACTGATGGCACAATCGTCTCTTTCCCCAAATCATTTTCATTAAATGGACATGAAAAGCTATTTATAAAGCTCAAGTTGTTTTTGTTAGGCTATTCACATGCTGGAGAAAGGAAGCAAATTCCTTTATCCAGAGGATGAATAGAAGAGCTTGGGTTATTTTTTTTTTTTGCTCTCTCCCTTTCCCTGTTTTCTTTTTAAATTCATTGCTTGTTTGTGTAATTAGATTAAAATTTAAAAAATTAAAATTAAAAAAAATTGTTCTCTCAGCATCACAATATTTCGGTGCTGTAGCAAGCACAGCTCCGTGGCCTTGCTTTCTCTCCTTTCCCCGTGTTGTTGGACGGGGTAACCGGGAAGGCAGAGGAGTGAAGGGTTGGGAGGTGGAGGAGGTGATGGAGCACAGGGTGAGGAGGTGATGGACCAGAGTATGATGGAGCAGGAGGTGATGGAGCAGAGGGTGATGGAGCAGACGGTGATGGAGCAGAGGGTGATGGAGCAGAGGGTGATGGAGCAGACGGTGAGGAGGTGATGGACCAGACTGTGATGGAGCAGAGGGTGGTGGAACAGAGGGTGGTGGAGCAGAGGTGGAGGAGGTGATGGAGCAGAGGGTGATGGAGCAGAGGGTGGTGGAGCAGAGGGTGGTGGAGCAGAGGGTGGAGGAACAGAGGTGGAGGAGGTGATGGAGCAGAGGGTGGTGGAGCAGAGGGTGGTGGAGCAGAGGTGGAGGAGGTGATGGAGCAGAGGGTGGTGGAACAGAGGGTGGTGGAGCAGAGGTGGAGGAGGTGATGGAGCAGAGGGTGGTGGAGCAGAGGGTGATGGAGCAGAGGGTGATGGAGCAGAGGGTGGAGGAACAGAGGTGGAGGAGGTGATGGAGCAGAGGGTGATGGAGCAGAGGGTGGTGGAGCAGAGGGTGATGGAACAGAAGGTGATGGAGCAGAGGGTGGAGGAACAGAGGTGGAGGAGGTGATGGAGCAGAGGGTGGTGGAGCAGAGGGCGATGGAGCAGAGGGTGAGGCAGTCACAGCGCCCCGCTGGAGCCGCCCGGAACGCGGAGAGGTTTGGGGGACACCGAGAGGCTCCGTCCCTCTTCCTTCCCTTCCCTCTTCCTTCCCTTCCCTCCTTCCCTCTCCCCTCCCTCCAGCGCGGAGCTGACCGCAGCTCGTGGTGCTGAAACATCCCCGGGCCGGGCGGGATCGAGAGGGAGAGAAGGAGGGAGAGAAGGAGGGAAGGAGGGAGCGGGACCCGCCTCGCCCCGGGACCGTGACAATCCCGGCTAATTTGCGGAGCAGCGGGGGGAGCGGGCAGGGAATGTCAGGCAGTCACTGCCTGTGCTAAATCGGGCAGCAAATTGGCGCGACTGATGCTTGAATGTTGTACTCCGTCCAACCTCTGAACTGCGGCGTAACCCCGCGGGGGGAGCGCGGGCACGGGCGGGCAGCAGCGCGCTGTGCCCGCGCACGGCGACAGTGCCAGCACCCACCTGGGAAATAGGAGGATCTCAGGAAGGGCTGGAAGGATCCTTCAAAGTACGGGAACGAGAAAGACTTTGGCGGGACGCTCTGAAGCAACGCGGGGGAGGTTTCTAGTAAATAAACAAAATCAAATTAATCGGAAGGTTTGGATTCGACCGAAGGCGAGGTTGGGTTCTGGTCGCTCGGTCTGGAGACCAACGCTGGGTACTTTTAGAAAAAAATAAAGGAATCACACCGCATTTGGAAGGGCCGAGGGAAAGAGGCACTTTTGCTGGTTTTGCCAGCAAAGCGGCACCACACAAAGTGAGGACAGGCTCAGCCAGAAGACACGGCCGGGCTCTGAGACCCCTGGGCTCTGGGACCCTCGGCTCTGGGACCCTCGGCTCTGGGACCCTCGGCTCTGGGAGCCCTCCCTCCGCCTGCTCCTCCCGTCCGTCCCGGCCCCGGCAGCGCGGCCCTCGCCCTGGAAAGCCGAGCGCTGATGCCGGAGGGCTCAGCAAGCCGAGCAATGATGCCGGAGGGCTCCGCAGCTCGGCACCGGCTCCCGCCCCGCTTTCCTAACGCGGTCCCCGCGCTCCCCCGTCCCGGTGCGGTGTCCCCAGCCCCCGGTGACAGCCGGGCTGTCCCCGCTTACCGGCTCGGGGCGCGGAGGACAGGATGGCGTTGACTCCGAACTTGAGGAAGGTGGAGTCGCCGCCGGGAGCCTGCGGCGAGCAGCCCCTCCTGGGGCCGGGCAGCTCCGGGGTCCCCGCGTCCGTCCGGGCCGCCGAGCCCGGCGGGGACACGGCGGCCGCGGGGGCGCTCCGGGGCAGGTAGGCGGTCGGGCTGCCGATCCGGATCAGATCTTCCACCAGGAAGCCGGAATGGCCGGAGAAGGCCGACTGCAGCGCCTGCGGCACGGTGAGCGTGGGCGTGGGCCGGAGCAGGCTGGGGTACACGGCCGGGGGGGCGATCAGGCCGGGGAACATCATCGCGGCTCCGCTCGCCGCCTCGCTCGTTCGCTCGCTTTTGTTTTCTGCCCCGCAAACCCGGGTCGGTAAAGATCCGGCCGGCGAGCCTGGCGGAGTTCTCTGCGCCCCTTCCTCATGGACCGCGCGTTTTATAGCGATCAGCCCCGCTGAGGCTCTTTCAAAAGTGACAGCCCCAACAATGGGGTTCAACAAAGTTCTCCACTTGAGCTTCATTCAGGGCGAGCTCCCGGCTTCTCCATTGGTCCGGGGCCGCAATTTATGATTGGATTAGACTTCATAAGCAACCGGGGCACAATGGCCCCGCCACAAAGAAAGTGTAGTCATCAATTTTGCATATTGACCGCCTCTTTGGAATACAGCGCTCCAAAGGCTCCCAGCAGGGTTTTGTTCAGAGGCAACACACACAGGCTAATTAAATGCCTATTTAAAAGTTTCAAATGACATCTTGCCTCGTAGAAAGGGAATTATTTAAAGAAAGCACTAAATTTATTTGCCGCTCCCCTGCTGAGTTTAGGAAATAAATCAATAAATATTCATAGAAACTTATCTGCGGACTCTCAGAAAAGCACGGGTTTTGTGGATTTGAAAATACAAATTACAAAACGTGGAACTAAGCTCTGTTGAGGGAGAAACACTTTTGGAGAGCGTGTCCCACCGTAGTTTGAACATATTCTGCTCCTGCTATTGGTGTGAGGCAGAATTAGTGCGTGTAGATGGGCTTGGTTTTCTATCCGCACATCAAAGGTCCAGAATAAGGCATATTTGCGGTGTCCTCCTCTCCTTTCAAGGTCCGAGCCTCGTAAAAGTCTGGTGTACTTGTGCTCGGGAGAGAGGTTTGCCCAGGCCGAAATGCGAGCCCTGGTGAGGTCGGTGAGAGCTGTGCTCCCACAAAACCCGGGCATTGCACACAGCAGAGACCCGGGCACCTTCGGGGGAGCAGCACAACCCTCGGGGTTCGCAGCCTGCTGCTCCTCCGCAGCTTCTCTGCGTTCAGAACAGCGGCAATCGCCACCCTCCAGCTGTGAAAATGAGGGCAGCTTTGGAGCGTTCGGATCCTTTTGGCTGAGCTGTCCGAGCTGCTCTGGGCTGTGCCGGTGCCGATGGCTCGAAGCAGCCAAATTCACCTGAAATCGCTTTTGATCAGCCCGTGTGTGCGAGATTTCGGAAGGTGTGCTGCTCACAAGGAAAGTGTCTGTGGGACAGAGCCCGGAGCGCCCTGACTTTGGTGCGAGGGACGAATGGCATCGCCTAAGGCGAAAGTAGTAAATCGGGGTTTTTCTGGCAGAGAGGTTTTGTTTGTGGTGGAAATAGGCGCGAGTGTAGTGAGTTTCCTTCGGAGGTGCTTGATGAAAGCGACTATTGAGAGCGGTTTTACCTGATTTCTCTGTTAAAGACTATAACAGATGTGTTAAATGTCCTATGTTTTAAAAGCATCCTATTCAGCCCTTTGGTGTGTCTGAACCTTTGCAAGCAGAAGTGTGCAGCTCAACCATGCAGCCTTTATCCTATTAACCATGAACTAACTGTCACCTTCAGCTGTTTTCCCTTTTTACTTTTTAACACAAAGCTTTCTCAAAAATCTTATTAACCAGCTTTATTTCTCCCGATGGTTTTTGTCCGGACGTTTTGTGCCGATTATCTCCATGTCGATGCTTTAACCATTCAATAAAAGTGCATCTGCGATTTATATCACATTAGGGAAGAAAGAAAGTCTGTTAAACCTCTCCCTCGATTCAAATCAAAAAGTTATTTATTGGGGAGGACGGAATCAGCCCTGGAAACCCTTGCGATCCCGACAAGCCCTCGCGAGTCTGTTCGGCCCCCGGCGGACGGGCACCTGCAGACCCGACAGCATCACTTTGAAATCAAGCCCGGCTGGAGGGTTCGGTTCGCTGGCCTTGGCGCTGAGCGGGTGCAGAGACAGGGGAAGGGAGGCGTGGGCAGAGCGCAGGGGGCTCGCACAGGGGCGGCAGCCGCCCCCGGCCCCGCTCCGCCCGCCCAAACCCGGCCGGGGGATCCGGGATTGACTCGAGCCCAGTTCCCGAGCAGCGCTGATCTCGGGGTGTCACCCAGCACGGCGGCGAATGGGAGAAGCAAACGGCAGTGAAATAATGGCCGGGCACCCCCCAGCTCCCGGTGCCATCTCTGCCCCTCTCGCAGCCGCCCCAGTCGAGCTCCGCCCGGGCTGTTCCGAGAACACTCCGCTTTTTACAGTCATTACTGGTTTCTTTTGAGATGATTTACTCCTTTCTTCACATATACATCGGGGGCATTTTGTCTCGCCATAGACCGACTGCTGCTGATTTCTCTGGCTCTGAAAAAGAGGGGCTGACATTTTCTGGAAGGTTGGGTCAAGCGCATGCTGGGGCACGCGTGGACCCGGTTCCTTGTGATGCGTCTGAGCACACTCGTAAAGAATTCCTTAAGCACCACGGCAAAAGGGACTAGACATCTATTGAAAGGGAAGATAGACCATAAGAAACCAAGAAATCAGACGAAAGGATCTTATTTTAAGAGATCTCCTTTGGAAGTTTCTTTTCAAAGGCAGTGATCATTTAAGAGAAAGGGAATTCTAATGTCTCAGGATAAAACCTGTGACTAATGCCGTTTGACCTATGCTCGGGCAGTTTTGTGTTTCCTGCCATTCATTTTAATGTCGTTATCTTCAAATTTATTTCTTAAAAGTCACTCACTTTCTTTGTCACCGTAAAAAAAAAAAAAAAAAAGGAAAATAGCCCAAACTCGAAACCGCCGGCGGGTGGGGTGGGGCAGGGAGGGGGAGGTAAGGCTGAAGCTGCGTGTGTCCCGGTCCGAGGCCGGTAATCCGCATGAAATCGGGAGAGCCAGCACTTCAAATCCGGACACCAAAGGGCTGGGCAGGGCCGGGCCGGCCCCCCCCGGCGGCCGGAGCCGCGCTCGGAGCCCCGCGGCTCTCCCGCATCCCCCGACGTCTCAATCACCGCCACGGCGCGGCCCCACGCGGGACGGGACAGCCCTGTGCCTGTCCGTGTGTCTGTGTCTGTCCCTGTGTCCGCCCCTGTGCTTGTCCCCTGTCCCTGTGTCTGCCCCTGCTCCTGTCCCATCCCTGCCCCTGTCCCTGTGTCTGGCCCTGTCCCTGTCCCATGCCCTGTCCTTATCCCTGCCCCTGCCCCAGTCCCTGTCCCTGTCCCCGTCCCCGTCCCTGTCCCTGCTCCTGTCCCTGCGTGTGCCCCTGTCCCCGTCCCTGTCCCATCCCCTGTCCCTGTCCCTGTCCTTGTCCCTGTCCCATCCCTGTCGCTGCCCAAATCCCTGTCCCTGTCCCATCCCTGTTCCTGTCCCTGTCCCGCTTCCCACAGCCAGCCGGGAGCCGACATTCCCGCTGCTCCCTCCCCAGTATGGGAGCCGACATTCCCGCTGCTCCCTCCCCAAGGCAGAGCCGACATTCCCGCTGCTCCCTCCCAAGGCAGAGCCGACATTCCCGCTGCTCCCTCCCCAAGGCAGAGCCGACATTCCCGCTGCTCCCTCCCAAGGCAGAGCCGACATTCCCGCTGCTCCCTCCCAAGGCAGAGCCGACATTCCCGCTGCTCCGGACCCAATCCATCCGGGCCCGGCCGACCCCACCGCGCACCCCCGGGGCTGCCGCTCCTCCCTCCCTCCCTCCCTCCCGAAAGCTGCGGTGAAAACGTGGGTTCCGCCTCTAAGGTTGTTTTCTTACTCCTCCCCCCACTCCCCCACACTCCCTTTTCATTTATTTTTTCTTTTTTCCTCCTTTTTTCTCTTTTTTTTCCCCCGGAGAGGGGGAGGGATGCTCCTTCCCGCTGCGTCCCAGCCCCCTGACGATGCTCATGGACCACGCCGGCAGCTTGAATGGAGGCTGCGGGGGCGAGGCTGTATTAAGACACCTAAGTCTTCACCTTTAGAATTCAAGCACAAGGAACAGTAACTGTTGGTTCGTTCAAAGCTCTTCTAGATCCCCCCTTTTCTTGAAAATCCTTCTATTGTGCCAATCAAGCAGATGGTTTGCAGGAAATATAGCTTGGCCCCAGTGACCGAAACTAATTTTAACTAGCTTTCCAAGCCTGGCACGTTTGTTTTGCTCTTACAAAATAGCTAAAAAAACAGCTGGCAAGGGTGAATTAAACCCATTAAAGACACATTTATAAGAAATTATATTCACATAGGTTGCTTGAAACCCCCCTAAGAGGGGAGAGATGAGCGTATTGAAATGAAAATGTCCCCGAGCACACTACCCTCCTTAACATCGCCTGAGAGTCTCAAAACATTTTACTAAATAGATTAACTTGACTATTGTTTTGCATCACATTTATCAGCTTCATTAAGTGAATAGCTGAACAAATATATTACGCATGCATGAAAAGCTCTTTTGGGGGCTGCCTTATTGTGTCCTCAGCCCTGACAGGTGGTTAACTGTGTTTCTCTCTGCTCTCCCCCTCTCTCTCTCCGCGCAAAGAAAGAGGGATCTCGGGCAGAGCGCGCAGCCCAGACTTGGCAAAGGGACCTCGAGGGGAGAGTCACTTTCTTTAGCCTCGCCATTCATGCTGGCCAGCCCGGAGCGCACACGGCCTGAAACGCAACCAGATGATCTGATCGTGTCACAAGTAATTAACTTTAGTTTAGTCCCTGGGTCTTGCTCGCGCTTTGCTAACTCCTTCCAAGCCCGTTTAATTTGCATCCTTTCTTCCAAATTTGATTATTTTTGTCCATTGCGTCCTTTTATCCTTTCCCCAACCTCCACCTTTGTTTTAAAAAAATAATCTGGGGCTGAACAATCCCTCTTCTTTCTTCTCCATTGATCTGTCTAATAAACAACCACACAACTTCCTTAAAAACAACTCCTTTCACCAGCTAAGATTGGCACGTTTTGGAGAGCTAGGATTTGCAAAATACAACATGATGGTTTATTTGCTGCCTCAATTTCACGATTTCTTGGCCCAGTAGAACCTTTCTGGGAACTGGACAGAGGCAGTTTGGATTTCAGATGTTGGTGGGCAGGGTCCTGC